TGTTACTTATATCGACTGAAATTGATTTGAGAACTTTATTTATCTCAACAAATCTACCAAAGTGTTTTCTCTTCCCACTACCTTTAAATCAAACAAAATAGTTCAACCTGAGGGGACAAGTTTTCCATTACGCCAATGTTCGGTCATCACACGATAGCCAACAAGACTGTCGGTTCCTTAACACCAGCTGTGAAACATCATGATAAAGTTTGTAATATAAACAATGCACCAACCAATACAGTGCTCAGATATAACGTGTCTCGGTGGTAAAGTCGATTTTACAAAGAATGTTTCATTGGTTGGAGGATTTCATCATGAGCTGACATCAGTTAGAGAAATATCGGAAAACCAACAGGGAGTATGGGACAGCTGCTTCGTCAGACTAGTTTGAGGCTCTTCATCAGTACGCACCCACCGCCAGGGTTCGAACCCAGGACCTTCTGATTACAAGGCGAGCTAGCTAGTAGACCATTCAGCCACTGGGACCTAATCCAATGGTCAGCCCATGAATTCCAACTTCTGCCAATTCACGATATGGCACGACCACTTCGCAATGTCTTCGGTGAATAACTGTCCTCACCTGGGTCCCAGGTTTAAATCCCGGTGTGTGCATACTAATGAAGAGTCCTAAATAAGTCTGACGAGACAGCTGTCCAATACTCCTTGAAGGTTTTCCAATAGTTCTCTAACTGATGTCAGCTCATGATAAAACCCTTCAACTAATCAAACAAAATCCCTACAAACCAATACCTGAAAAAATGTTTCCCCAAAACATGCTATCCCTACGTTTTAGCACACACTAGGTATTTTTATTAGCCTAAATAAACTGTCATTTGTAATAAATATTGAATAATGACGGTATTAAACAGAAAGGAAGGCATATTTTCTTCTTATTTCTGCGGCTACCTGGGCAGCCTTTCCAGCTTCGTACATTGTACGAACACTCCACGTCCCCATCCTTATTTTCGCTTTCATCGAAAGGAGGCACATCGGCTGACTGGATTCCCGAAGGCTTTCACCAGCCTGCGTCATTTCACTTCCCCGATTTCAGAGAAAAATAAGGTTATTGTAAATATTTTTAGTATTTTTAGTATATTTGTGCGTTGAAGTTTCTGTAGCAATTTGGTTAAGTTTTGGGGGTGGAGTTGCTAGCACCACGCCCCAACCCTCCCTCTTTATCTGGGCTTTGGACCGGCTAGAAAACTAGCGAGCTAGTAATCTAGGCGAGGCTTCAGACAGTGGGAATCAAGAGGACAGGGATATTCTGGACAGACGTGAAGAACCTAGAACACCTGGATTTCGCGGATGATTTATGTTTGATGTCACACAAAATCGAAGACTTACAAGCGAAAACCGACAATCTGGTCGAAGAAGCAGCCAGAGAAGACAGGACTCCGGGTGAACATAGACAAGACGGAGGTTATGAAAATAACCAACAACAACAACAGCATCAACATCCAGCGCCAATCACCATCAACGGGAGGGATTTGAAAGAGGTTACTTCATTCACTTATCTAGGGAGCATTGTCTCAACTACAGGAGGAACGGACAAGGATGTCAAATCGAGAATCGGGAAGGCGAGAAACACATTCATCAACCTGAAACCAATCTGGAAATCTTCGTCACTCAACTCAGCATCAACAACAAAATCCGGATTTTCAATACAAACGTCAAGTCAGTCAGTTCTTCTATACGGATCGGAAACTTGGCGGCGGGTCACAAAGAATATTTCCAACAGCCTGTTGCAGACCTTTATCAACAACTGTCTTCGTCCCATACTCAAGATTAGATGGCCGGAAAGAACAAGAACCAAAAAGAAACTATGGGAACAAACAAAGCAAGAACCAATCGCCCAACAAATGTGCAGGAGAAAGTGGAGATGGATTGGACACTCGCTGAGGAGACCGTTGGGTGACATCGCGCGTCGGGCCATCACTCGAGTGGAACCCGAAAGGGAAGCGGCGAGTTGGTCGTCTGTGCAAGGGTGACATGGAGGAGATCGTGTGAAGAAGAGTTGAAACAGTATGGACTAACATGGATGCAGGTGAAAAGTACAGCAGAAGACAGAAGCAAGTGGAGACGTGCAGTTGAAACCCTATGTTCCACTAGGAACCCAAGGGAACAATAATAATAATATTAGTAATAATAATAATAATAAAAGGCATATTTTAATTTAATGTAATACTGACACTGCATTAACTAGTAATTAATCAATAAGACACACACACACACACAGATACACATAAAAGATTATATCTCCGATAATATCTGAATACCACTCGTATCCATAACATTGTCTGCTAGGATTTCTATGCACGTAAGTATACAGGTATGACAATCAAATCAGAGGTTTCTTTACAACAATAAATGCTCACAGTATAAGGACTACTTTATTTACCCAATCAAAAAAGCCCTTAGCACTATGTAATTCAGTGGGAAGCTAGTTGGCCTTAAATGATGTATTTCCTAAAAAGTTTTATTTCTAAAAATCCCCTCTGATGAATACAATTCATCACAGTTTCTTGAGAAATAGGTGCCCTAGACTGTATAAAAAACCGGGCCAATATATAATGGATTTGATGATATGCGCGGAATCATGTGCGGAAGATTTGTAGCTCAGGTGGATGATTTTGATGCAGTTGTGTTCTCTGTCCTGGATGGTTTATTTGTGAAGCTTTCTCTCCCAGTAACCCCAACATACAATTTATCCAAAGAACTAAGCAGAAAACTGAAACACCTAACGGATTCCTACGATCACTCCATCAATTCTACTACCCAATTTCTAGAGAAAATCAGAGGCATTCAAATAGATCACCAAGAAATAATGGTATCCTTCAATGTCACAGCATTACATACCTCAGTTACACAGGAACTAGCCAAAAACCATGGAGTACTTACTAAGCAACGACGAACACCTCCCACAACAATCTAAAATGTAACGCACAAGTTGGATGGAATGCATAAACCTATGCCTAACAACCTACTTCCAATTCCACGGCCAAATGTATGAACAAGTCAAAGGAAAACCCATGGGATCGCCAATATCAGTTTTAATTGCAGAAGCAGTGATACAAAGGCTGGAAAACATAATCCTACCAAACATCAAACCCAAAATTTTGATACGTTACATAGATGACACATTGGTAACAATCAAAAGATGTAACCCTACTCACATCTTACCAATCTTCACCCCACTTAGTTACAACTTTGATTATTAATCACACATTTTAATTTCTTTATTATTTTGATGATATAATCAACAACCCACACTAACTGTTATTTTGATTTTGACAAACCTAATGTACATACACACACACACAAAATAATTGTATATATTTGCAACTGTATAGCTAAGTGAATGAATTCGCCGAAAAGAGACTCTTCGCTGAACTAATTTGTTCTTATTACAATCAAAAGAAACGAGTTGGATAAAACTCACAACTGACTTCATAAACAACGTCTTCAACGACATCAAATTCACAAGAGAAGAGGAATCCGAGAACAAAATCCCATTTTTCAACGTCTTAGTCAAGCGAACAACCACAGGGGAATTAGAAACTCAAGTTTATAGAAAATCAACTCACACAGACCAAATACTGAATTACAACAGCAACAATTCAATAACACACAAAAGGAATTGTATACAAACACTATTCAAGAGGGCCAGCGAGGACTCATTGCAGCACTCCCACCTTAAGGAAAATTGAAGAAAGATATCTCATGGATGTCTTCCAAAAGAATGGATATCCACAGAATTTCATCAAAAGACATATACCCCCAAGCCAACCTACTAAATCAAAGGCCCCCAAGGAAAGCACAAAGAAAGTCGCCCTACCATATATAAAGGACATCTCAGAAATCACTGCAAGACTCTTCAAACCTTTAGAAATTGACGTCGCACACAAACCAACAAAATCACTTCACTCAGTTCTATGTCAACCAAAAGACTCAACAGCGAAAGAAGATAAAACCAACATCATCTACAAAATAAATTGTAACAACTACGAAAAACACCACATTGATCAAAGTGGACGTCCCCTTCGTCTTCGTATCCATGAACATAAGCTAGCCGTCAAAAGACATGACATCCACTCCCTCATATCACTACATACAGACAACCACAGACATCAATTCGACTGGGACAACCAGCGTTCAAATATTAGATAGAGGAAACACCAAGAATGCTAGAGAATTTTTAGAAGCCTGGTATTCCAGTGAATCATCAATCAATAGACACATCGAGATAGACAAAATTTACCAACCGATAAGAAGGAAATCTCACACACAAACGGTTAAAGTTCAAGTCAAGGAAACAATCAGTTCCAATACAAGTAGCCTAGAGGGTGTGAAAACACAAAAAGCACCAATCACGTCCAAGGTCACTAGGAGAGATGACAAATAAATTCGTGAAGAAATCTGAAAGTTCACTTCAAATTGAAGTATGCGCCGAAGATGTTGTCTAGTAGAGGTCAATGAAAGCTTCGCAAACAAACCACCCAGCTCAGCGAACACAACTACATCAAAAAAGACCTAAATTTCCTGACGTAAGAAACGAACAAACTGTTTTAGGCTACAGTGAACAACAATTCGTTGGGTTATTGATGTAAGAATAAAACATGGGCACTGTGGTAGAGTGTAATTCCATTATGGGTAAATTTTATTTTGATAGAGTCTCACAGTGTTATACAGTAATATTTACTGATGACGTTTCGAGCACAATTTATTGCTCATAATCATATCAAGTTGGTATGATTATGAGCAATAAATTGTGCTCGAAACGTCATCAGTAAATATTACTGTATAACACTGTGAGACTCTATCAAAATAAAATTTACCCATAATGGAATTCGTTGGGTTGCAATGCTAAATGTAAGCAATGATTTGAAGCGACAGTGCTTACTTCGCATTAATTAGAGAACAGTGCAACGATATATGATTATTAAACTAATGACACAGTGAAAGAAAATAATCAGCATAAAATTGGAAATTAAAAAACTTACACAAATCATGGTAAGATCTTAAATGAACAGCTGAACGCATTCTTGAACCGATATATATGCCAGCCAAAGCACCAGCCGTAAAGAATAATGCTTTCTTACGAGAATTCGATCTGTGTTCAAAAGAAATAAACAATAGGAAGATGATAAATATTCTGGTGTATGGTCTGTGAAGGATCGATCCTTAAAAAGATGGCTTTCATTACTAATTGGATATTCGTTTCGTTCAAGGTTGAAGTCACACACACACGCACACACACCTAATACAGTCCTACAGTAGGTTAATCACGATCCCGAATAGTTCAGTGGTAACGTCTCTGACTTCACCACAATGATTGACACGGGTTCGAATCTGAGAAGGGATATGAGTTCCTTGGAGGTTGCAGATACGACTTGCTGATTGATTGACGGGTACCAACTAGCACGAAACCGATTACCTCCAACCATCTACCTAGAATGGTGGGTGGCCACATTGCAAACCTGACTGATAGAATTCAGTCTACACCAAAGAAAGGATTAGACACGCCACACAAGTTACTAGTGTCCAATCAAAATACACACTCAAGTGCATAACGCTTACACAAAACAGAGCATTAAGCCTAAAAGTCTTACAATTCAGGCATTGATTCAAAATTCAACAATCTACATTTCACATCCCTTAAAACAGCACGATTAAGTTGCGCTCCTTCTACACAACAAACAAAAATGAAAAATGATACTTTTTACAAATATCATGCGTTACTAAAACTCATGGTCATGTAATAGGACCTAACAGTTTGTGTAACAAAATCATTTTAGAAAGTGGCCTAACCACTGTTTATAATTTCGCAAAAAAAAACTACAATTATTAGCCACAAAACACTTTAGAAATTAGCCATTTTTCCAGTGAAACTCGGAAATATATCTAATAAAATATAGGCTACCATCAATCAATCAATCAATCACATAAAAAATTTAATCTACTTTATCGCTTTGTATCCTGCTTTGTTTTGTTTTCATGAAAGGCTTGTAGTCTCTTAAGATAATCCTGAGGAAGTTACACTGGATAATCACATTTTCGAACCACTTGTACATCGATCACATTCTGTTGAACAGGGTGATTCTTACACGCACACAATCACTGGATGCCAATGAGATCACTAGAGTAAATCTGTGGAATGCACTCAATAAGTTCTGACTGACCGTATGACTACCTCTTCGTTGGCATTCGGTGTGAATATTATTATTATTGTTTCCTTTAATTCCTAGAGGAACATAGGGCTTCAGTCGTGCGTCTCCATTGCGTTCGGTTCTCTGCTAGAGTCTTCACCTGGCTCCAGGTCTGCCACCCACATGATTTCATCTCCTCTTCACATGACTGCCTCCTCCAAGTCATTCTTGCACTGACGACCAACTCGCCACTTCCCTTTCGGGTTCCACTCGAGCAATGGCTTGTCTAGTGGTCACTTGATGGTTTCCTCAATACAGCAGAGGTACGTTGTCTCTTCACAACCACGCTTATTCTACGGTCGAGAAATAAGGATAAACTACCTAAATTTGCCTCTTCTATGTGTATCTACCAGTTTAACTGCAGCTGCGGAGCTTGTCTTGCTTTCCCGATTCTTACTTTGATATCCTCGTCAGTTCCATCCGCCTGTATTTGAAACGATGCTTCCCAGGTAAGAAGGTTGGTGAAGGAGGTTACTTCTTTCAGATTTCTCCCATTTATGCTGATTGTTTTCTGTTGCTGTTGGTCAGGAATCTTCATCACCCCTGTTTTCTCTATGTCCACCTGAAGTCCCTCTTATCTTTGATGCTTCTTCTGCCAACTTGTTGCTTTTCGCTTGCATATTTTCCAGTTTGTGGGAAATCAGACATATATCATCGGCGAAGTCCAGATCCTCCGAGTGAGTTGTTTTTGTGGGTCCATTTTACGCCTGTTTCCTCGCTGCCTGGCCCGCTGTCTGTCGCATTATCCAATCTACTGCAATCAGGAAAATCATTGGCGATAGTAGGCAGCCTTGTCTTACTCCTGTCCTCACTCCGAAGGATTCCGTAAGTTTCCCATTGTGGATTACTTGGCATGCAGCATTGTCGTACAGCTGTTGGATGAGATGTATAATTGTCGGTGGCACCCCATAGTAGCGAAGTAGCTGCCAAATCACCTCTCGATCAACGCTGTCGAAGGCCTTTTTAAAGTCGATGAAGTTGAGATAGAGAGCTGAATGCCATTCCAAGTTCTGTTCAATGATGATCCGTAATGTGGCGATTTGACTAATACATGACTTGTTTCTCCTTAATAGAGCCTGTTCCGGTCGAAGTTTTTCATCCAGGGCTTGTTTGATTCGGTGTGAATATAGCATCGAGTTTTGTCATAAAGTAGACTAAAACAGCTTGTACGAACAAAGACGGACCAGGATACGCATCGATGTTAATTTATATAGTCCACGCCTAAAAGCACCCACTACTACTGACAGCATTTTAGATCATGCGAAAAATGGATTTTATCAAGAACTCCTAGATTTCCTGGGAAAGGTAGGTTAATTCAAACACAGACATTTGAGAGGAGTGAATTCGGCACTTAAATAAGGTAGCCGAGACAATGGGATAGACACACAATCTCATGGATTTTAACAGACAATCACTTGTTTCTGTTCCGTTTTAACTGTAAACAAAGACAAGGGGTTGTCTCACTTAGAGGCCAGTAAAAATTACACCAAAGCTGGACAAGGGTAGTTAGTATTTTGTTATAATCTGTATACAGGGAAAGTTCTAGTTGATTTTACGCTTGGACTTTGATTATGCGCATATCTACCTGAGCTTGAATGAAGATAGTTAATAGACATGGAAAAATTACACTTCTGTATTTAGACAGAAGGTAAATAAAATTTTGTAAGAACACCACAATAGTGTTCATCATGATGAAACTGGGTGTTATATTCAATTTGTTCTGATAAAAGTGGTAAAACAAATGTTCATCAACTGGTTTACAGTCTTTGTAATAACTGTGAGAGTAAACGATTCATGTGAAAACGAAGGTGATAACGAAGACATCATAAATCTGTCAACGGTTTAAACTTAGTGAAGAATCGGCTGAAAGAGACAGCAGTAGGTAGAATTATTTCTGGAGTACGTAACATCAATAATAAGTGTGTTATTTATGCGAGACAAACAGCCGTAAAAACCGTAGAAAGTATGACAGAAGTGAACTGACTGATTGACTATTTTCAACGTAGAGCATTGCACAGATGTGCAGCAGTTCAAGTTACCACACTTCCTCCTTGTATCACACAAATCAAGAGAAGTAAAGACAGATTCACAAGACAGACAATAAAAAGAAGTAGGAAAGGAAAAAATAGTAATATACAAGAACTAGAGAGATTTAGTGGATATGATAAATCACAAAGAGTGAATGCAACTGCACCAGCCATTGAGAACGATTCCCAGCCATAACACTGGTTGTCTCCAGTTATTGTGTTGTTATTCAAAAGTAAAATTTTTTCAGTGGGACACACTTCGTGTGTGAAAACTTCAACTTGGCATGTGATTCACTCCCGCCAAATGTAAGATGATGCTACAGGACTGGACTGGACTACATTGACTCCTAGTTTAGAAATAGGGAGTGAAGTGGTTTGTGGAGCGTGTTGACCACTTCACTTATTTGGGAAGTTGCATCAGCCAGTGACAGCATGTTGGTCGCTGAAGAAATCTCTGCGCGGATACAGAAGGTCGTTTCGCACATGCCAGTTTACGCCGTCTCTGGCGTAGACGTCAAATCCGGCCGGCTACCAACCAAAGGACGTGTGTACTGCTCAGCAGTCAGCTCCGTCCCTCCTTTATGACTGTGAGACCTGGCCATTGAGAGCGGAAGACATGAAAAGATTAGCTGTCTTTGATCATAGGTGCCTGCGTTCTATCTCCCGTGTTAGGCTGAAGTGGTATAACAAGGTGAGCAATATTGAGGTTAGGCTTCACTTGAGTGCTAGGTATAGAGAGGAGGGGAAATCAATAGACGAGGCTGTGAAGCTACATCGGCTGAGAGAGAGATGGTTAGGACATGTGTTACGCGTGCCTAGCCATCCATCGCCTTCCTAGACTACGGGCAGTCTTAGCTGACTGACATGGGGTCAGGTTGGAAAAGAGCTAGCGAGTGGTGGTCAGACCAAAACATGGCACCAGTCAATGAAATCCACAACAGTTAAAGTCAGTCACGTCGGGAGGGGTAGATTTCCTGACTGGTTGGGGTCCTCGGGATGGTAAAAACCAATGGAGGCTGGAGACACAATTGGTGATAAGGCTCAAAATCGTTCTCAATGGCTGGCGCAGATACATCCACTCCTTGTGACTTATAATACCCAATGAAACTATATGGTTCTTCGATATTTCTATTCTTTCTGCATCATGTCTCTATTTTGCATTTCACTTTACTTTCCTCGCTGAATTTGTGTGCTAAGTGAAGTGTGGCAACTGGAACTGCTGCACATCAGTGAAAAGTTGTATGTCGGTCGGTCGGTTTTCGACACAGAACTTTGCACATATGTGCGGCAGTTCAAGTTACCACCAGTCAGTACATTTAATGATGCTCAGGCAATTGATTAAGGTGAATATGTGACCAATCCACTCTGCGCTTTGCGAAGTAGTTTGTTCTCTGGCTTTTCAAACAGGCTAAGTTTTTCCCTTGATAATTTTGGGCATAGCAAGTACAAAAACATTTGCAGCAAATGATACTTTCATACTTGGTTTTTCTTTAATTTTCCAAACTCCAAAATTCTACCAGGACTATTATTATTGTCTATGCACGACTGATTACAATTTGTGAGAATTCGCTTGTCAACAATTTCACTTTCCAATAACATCTTTTCAAAGAATGGAAATTCGGCTGCAAGAAACAGCACAACAATTCAGTTTAGCCACCATAAGTTTCCTTCTAACCAAACATATCCCACTGAAGCTAATAATGACTTTGATAAGTCTATCAGCAAAATCATGTGCTAATCAAATTGCGACTCTACGCATCATCATCGAACAAAGCATAAAATGGCAGTCAAACCTGCACCTTAACTTCATCGACTTCCAAAAGGCCTTCGACAGCGTTGACCGCACCGAGAAATAATTTGCAAACTGCTTCAACACTGTGGCGTGCCAAAAAAATATTTACCAACCTCATTTAACCACAGCTATATGACAGTGGTACGTGTCAGGTGATCCACAACGGAAAACTCAGTGACGCCTGTCTTTGAAGTGAATACAGAAGTAAGACAAGGCTACCTACCTGTTATCACTGATGATATTCCTAATTGTGGTGGACTGGATTATGCGTCAGACTATGAGTGGGGAGTGAGAAGATAGGAATAAGTTGGACCACCGATAAGAAGACTCTAGAAGATCTGGATTTCGCAAGTGGATTATTTATGTTTACTGTCACAGAAACTCGAAGACTTACAGGCAAAAACCAGCGAACTGGCAGAAGAGGCTGGCAGGCAGAGAAGAAGATACTCCAGGTGAACATAGAGAGAAGACGGAGGTGAGGAAGATAAGCAACCAACCGACCAGCACCATTCCCCATCAACGGGAGAGATTTGACAGACGTTACCCGCTTCACTTATCTTGGGAGCATCGTTTCAACTACAGGCGGAACTGATGAAGATGTCAAAGCTGGCCAGCGAGAATCGGAAAGGCAAGATGCGCACGCCTTCATCAACCTGAAACTAGTTTGGAAGTCTTCTGTACTCCACCTCGGCATAAACAACAAGATTCGGATTCTGTTCAACACAAATGTGAAGTCAGTCCTTCTATGCGGGTCAAAAACTTGGTTTGAGAGTCAAGAAAAGTATTTCCAACAAGTCACAAACTTTTATCAACAACTACCTTCGCTGATTCCATACTGAAGACCAAATGGCCAGCCAACCAGAAAGAATTAGCAACAAGAAACTGTCTGAGAACAAACCAACATGCAAGAGCCGACTGCTCAACAAATATGTAGGAGAAAATGGAGATGGACCGGGCATACGTTGAGGAGGCCGTCGAATGACATCGCGCGCAATGCAGGCCATAACTCGAGTGGAATCCAAATAGTAAGCGACGAGTGGGTCGTCGGTGTGAGGGTGACATAGATGAGATCGTGTGGCAAGGAGGAGATGAGAGATTATGGGCAATCGTTGGGTTAGCCAGTTGAAGAGAACGGCAGAAAATAGAAGAAAGTGGAGATGTGTTGTTGAAGCCCTATGTTCCACTCGTAACCCAAAGGGATAATGATAATAATTTAAAAAACAGTTTGCTACACGCTGAAAATACAAATATATAACTGTAACATCGGGAATAATCGGGACTTGATTCAAACAATTCTTGTATGAATGTTAATTTATCGTATAGTAAGACTAAGGCCGTCAATTTTAGTAATTTATATGATACACAATTCTAACTACTTAAAAAAGGCTTCAGAAAGCGAATTCAGATATGAATGTACAGAATCAAGTATGAATCAATACTAGATAATATGGACTGGCATTTAAATGTTACTTTTATAGCAGAACCATTAAACTACAATGTCCAGAGATCGCTTGACAGACAAACAGAAGTACATCAATAAGTCTATTCTAAATCTTATTTACCAGAAAATTATATAGTACAAACACTTTGAAGTGATGAAAATGGAAAGAAAAACTGAAAGATAACTTACAGCCCACTTCGACGTGAAAACATTCCTGACCTTGATGAATAATGATACTTTGGTTTGGAACGTGAAAATGGTTTGACATGGCTCCCACGACTACTACCCCAAACGCGGCTGGATTTGGATTTAGCAAGTACTTCATCTAAAAAATCATAGCCAACATTACAGCGGTATGTGGAGCATTTATGAAAAGAATAAGAAGCATGTAAAAATGAACGGCATAGTATCTCAAAAGGTCATCAAGGGTCACCAATCACAGACCACAAAGAAGACAGACTTAATTCCCTGGTAAAACGTAAAACAATAAATATCTCAAAAACTATGAAATACTATTATTAATTTAGTCTGATGTGTCTTAAAATTTACTTATTGTTTTTCTACAAGAGGTGCATTTGTATGTATTGGCCTTTAATTCACTGGTTAAACGGAAAGAAGACATGTTTTAATGAAAAAGGACACAATATTGACAAGTGGAACGTACTTTAATGTATATATAAGACATGAATCACCTCTTAAATTGGACAGTGACTTGTAATATTTCCTACAACTAAGACTCAATAGCAAACTGTCTTGATTATTAATAATCCCACTATTAAGAAATGTTTTTCCAAACAAAAGTGGACTATTTTTATAAAGCTAAAAGAGTCAAATAACACTATTGCCCAATATCATGTGTACTGTCTTTGAGAATTGGCATGTTTTCTTGATGAAACACTTACTAATCAAAAGACACACTTGCCTGTACATCAAGGTGCAGTAAAAATTAACATGTAACAGTAAATAGTTCTCGATTTTCACTTGTAATCTAATAAGCAAAATTTGCGAACTATCGATCATACCGTTTAATATATTCCCAGACATTATTAAGTAGACGAGACTACGGAAATACAACTGCTAGTCATGCTAATTTGATATTAGTCGCCAGTTTTAATGAAACCCATAATAAATAAGTATACCAAAAAAAAAACTAACATACTAAAAACAGAAAAATGAAAAGTGCGGATTCAAGCCGCTACACTACTCAGCTGAGACAAAAAGCACTGATTTCTAGGTGTTAGGAGGCAATCCAGGAGAGAATTCAAACCTAAGTTGTGAGCATTTTGGAACTTATCGACATCAACCATGAGGAAACTTTATTTTCATGGAAAATTCGAACCTGCATCATTTGGTCCCCACAGTGTCCAAGTTTTACACATACATTAATATGACTTGAGGTCTTCCTGTTCGAAGACTAATCCATAAACTCACGCAACTTTCGCAAACTGAAGCAAGATATAAAAATCATCGCATTTTCAACATTCGATGTCTGAAGAGTGAAATCATTACTAAATATCTACGTCTACGAGCTTCAGTCCAGATAGACAAAGTTAGAACCAGAAGAGAAAGTCTACAAAAAATACGGATTTGTTATTGTAAGTCATTATTGTTGTCGGTGTATCTATAATCTAAAACGCCCCCGAACAACCAGGATGAAGAAGAGTAACAGTACGACTTTTCTTCAAGAGAACCGAACTACAATCAAGGGTAGAGGGAGTGATTATAATCAATAAATCAAGTATAAAAAATGAGTAAATCAACATCAGAATTAAAAGGAAAAGTCTACCTCAGTATGTTATAACACATAGCGATACTGAGTTAACCAATAAAACCTTTACAGAGCCACAATAATTGGATGACTCAGGAAAATGAAAGAAATTTTATGAGATAATCCCAAATAATCGAGTTTTGGAAATGATGCAATGTGATCGTCATATTAGTACTGAAATTTCCAACTGAAACCACCAACACTGTCATACAGTTGGCAATAAGCCCCACCTATTGTGTGAGTCAATGACTCTACTTGCCTGTCCAAACCTCAGAAGGGGAACCGTGTAGCTGAAAGTCAAGCGCCTGAACCAATTCAACAATTTCAGTGTTAATATTAGATAACTTCACATCAGCAGCACAAGCCATTTTTACTTTCGCTAATGCACTTCAAACAAATGTGATAACTGAGGTTTCATCAACTTAATATGATTTGGGTATTTTGAAAACAGTGTCTGGAGTTTTTCATCAACTAGCGTTTGTTATTTGCCCTTAACTTTCACTAGTGAGGGAGATTCACGACTATGATATTTACACATTAAAGAAACAAAAACTTGCATAAGCTGCTTCAACTTTAAGAGGAATAATTAATTAGTATAAAGACAAGAAAAATATTTCCATTGTTCCCAAATGGAGAGATGGTGAATACAGATATAAATTTGAGGCTTGATTAAAAAGGCGAAAACCAAAGTGTAGATAGAATCTTAATATATTAAAATAATGCATTAAACATATCTGTAAGAGAAAGACACAAAATACTAGCAAACTTTGTACATACATATATCACTACATATAACGCCAGGCGTAGGCTTTCGAAACACAAAAGCCCATAAAATAACTATTCGTTTGACTTAAAACAATTGACAACAGTCGCTTGATGTAAAAATTATTCGTTTAAAGTATACACACTGCTAAGTAGCAAGAGGGTCGGGTACACTGCAAGTTAAGCGAACGTCATGGATTCGGACGTGCTTGTTCAAAGTTCTCGTTGATTTTAATACCCCTTAATTTCCGGAAACCAGCCAAATTTATGCTTTACCACAAAGTTGTTGTGCTAAGAGATTTCTTACACTTCCCCTCAGTTTACAAGCAGAATTAGGTCCAAACTCAAGAAGTCATAGAGATAAACGTGCAAGCTTCTGTTCTGTCCGGCGTCTACAGTGCTGGTCTACAACAAGGATGGCTACTAAAATGTTTTCTGACCGAAAGTGTTTGAAGTGATTTACACACACTACAATCATTTTCGCAATACATAAGATCCGGCCCATAGATTATATTTCAACACCACACCACTTACTTGATTAAACAGCCACTGTCCGATGTATAAAGTGATGAAAACCTAACCTTACATTGGTCAATAAATATCGAACTTCCAAAATACTTGCTTTTTAATACAGCTTATAACATTCTTATAAAATACTTTATGAATAATGCATTATAAGGATGTGCTTGAAATAAAGACAAAGGAAGTAGAAATATCAAATAATCAGGGGTAAAGGGTGCTAATAAGCAAAAACAGAAATACAATTTGCTGAGGAGAATTCGCGACAAATCTTAACGATATAATGATGATAATACTTATAAACAGCGCACACACTATATATCAAATTAGAAACAGGTGAACAAGTGATCAAATTATATACAATGTTTAAACAACAAAACGAACTCAGAAGGTGACGATTCAAAGCATATCTTACCATACAAAAGCACTAAAACCACGACAACTACCAGTAAAGTCTTCAGCCCCATAGTTACTCAGTGTTCAAGAGTAGCGCCGATATTCAATATCCAATCTGGTATCATTTTTACGAGGTAGTTTAAACCAAAGTTTTTGGTTGCCTCTCGGTTATAAAACAGAGGTTCCTAACCTTCAGTAAACTTGTGCTTAGTGTGCCCCTCTACTTGACCGCCAGAGCTTCTGTTGATTCCAATGGGAGTGGTATTGGGATTGATTATGTGTTTTGCAGTATGCGATTAGTTAGAGCTATGTTGCTGCTCTGAATGGAATTGATCCTTTTTCCCGTTGGTCACTTAGCGTTTTCGAGAAAGGAGGTAGCAGTAATAAACGGTAATAATAATCATAACTGCTGTAGATCACGTAGACTGTAAAAGAAAGACTTAAACAGATATTGAAATTTGAAATTATATATACTAAAATAAGTGAGTGAATGGATGGAGGAGCTGGAAGACTGATAGGATAGAGAGTGAACAGTTGTAAAGGATGATTCTAGATGTATGGTAGTTTGAGTTCTATGGGTATAAGCCATTTGGATGCAGTCCTTGTATCTCTGCATGATTGTCCAGCCTTCGCACAAAGTTTTCCATGAACAGTGCAGTGGCCGCACCTCTTGTTAAAGTGTTCCAGGAGTAGCAGACCTAAAGAGGAAGGAAATAGGAGCCCACCCGAGTGCTCGTTCTATAATGAGTTATCACCTGTGCGTTCCCGCATGGAAACTCGTGCTTACTTAATGGCAGAATAACTTTGTTCGGCTGATTCCGGTCGTTTATAATTTTATAGGCAGCACTGCGCCATTCCTAAGCCAACTGCAGCTGAGTGTGAAATGGTCTCATCTCTTCAGCTGTTCATCCTTTAGTTTATTTCGATGACCCATCACCCTTTTGGACTCTTTCCAAAGGGAATACTTTTCCATTATTAAATATTGCACTCTGTGGAACCAACTGCATTCGGAAACTAGACTTTGTGAAAAGTCCCATGGGTTCAGATGGAGTCTGGAGAACCACACCGACATCTCCACTCCAGTGAGTGTTAAAGATCACAAGTACAGGCAGAGTAGTCAACGGAAGACAGTTCCATCTTGATCTATGTGAACTGCATCCACCTGAATTCTATTATGTAGTGAATCGTCAACCACTTAATTGAATTTCTTTTCCTTTATAATCTTCAGTAAGTAAGGTTATTTTGATTATGTCTAAAAACGGTTATATTGATAGCCATATCGTTTTACATTCCGTATACATACATGTATATAATTAGTATAATACAAATCTACTGTTTGACACCTGGGCTACCTTTCCGTACATCTGCATACTTGCGTCTAATACATCATGTTTTAATTTTTAATTTTAACAAAATATGACCACAAATCATATCGAACACAGTAATGAATTCACTAAACGTTTTAAGCCATATGACTTTCATGCATCTAATAAAACTAAGAGAAAACATCACGGTGGTTGGAAACGCGGTCTCAAGCGAACATTTTTGTAACGCACAACTATTCCTGTCATTGTTAGTTCAAAGTGCCGTTCACTTCCAACAAAATTATGCATCCCCGGTCTCTCTTATCATCTGATACTTATCACAATATGGTGATACTTGCATTACAAGAAACATGGTTACATGAACTTTATGATGACAACCTGGTTTCTCTAAATGGGTTTACATTGTTGAGACAAGATCGACTATACCTCAGGAAGAAAAGAGGTAGAGGTGTTGCAACTTTCATTCATTCTTAGTGGTCAACTTCAAATAATGTATGTTTTTCTTTCTCTAGTGACTTTATTGATTGTATAACAGTCAAATGTTGTCCGAAACACTTGTCCAAGTTTGGATATGTCTTCATCTCAAACATTTGTGTTTCTCCTGGTTATTCCGCCTCGGATTTATCTGATTTCGCTGATGAATTCACTGCATTCGCTGTTACACATCTCGAAAACTATTTATCAGTTGTCACAGAAGATTTCAATACCTGCGATTGTTCTTTTCTTGAATCATTAGGTCATGTCAATATTGTTAAATTTCCAACTCGACTTGATAAAACACTTGATCTAGTATTTACTAGTGATGCGGAAATATATGAAGCACGCAGACGTGCTTCTATAATGAACTCTGATCATTGTATTATTCGGATAATACCTAAGATATATAGCAGATCTCAATCTAATATCCTCTCAAATCTGTCCAGAAAACAAAACAAAGATGTTACTCACAAGAAAATGTGCTCAAACTAAGACGTATATTAAATGACACAAACTGGGAACTTTTCACCGAACACAAACACTGGATGATACTATTTCCAATCTGACTGACTATCTTAAATTCTGCCTTGATGTATGCTGTCCAAAACAGATACTTTTCAAGAGAATGGACCGTTCCTCTTCCCCTCATCTCAAAAAGCTTCGAAGAGGAAAAAAAGAGACTATACAATACTACAGATAAATCTGGTCTTAGGAGGATAAACATCCAAATTAAATCCGAAATCAAGAGGCTAAACAATATTTATAATCAAAGAATTTTGTCATGTAAAACTCCTGGGAACATGTGGAAGCTTTTCAAAGAAATTACAGGTTGTGGTAAGCATAGTTCTTGTGCCCCCTCTATTGATGTAAATACTCTTAATAGATCTTTTATCCGCCCTCCTAATGTCCCTTTTAGCTTCAGTGTAACAAATAACATGACCAGTGACTTTCATAGTTTTAATACTTCTGATGTTCTTGGATGTTTAAAATCTCTTAAACATTCACAGAGTCTAGGCCCTGATGGTATACCTGCCACTGTCCTAAGGAAATGTGCTGATATCTTAAGTAACCCACTTACAAACATTTTCAACACTTCTTTTTCTAATAATGTTGTACCTTCTCTGTGGAAAGATATCAGAATCATCCCTGTACCCAAGTCAAGTTCTGGAAATAGTGTTAAGTTTAGACCTATTGCTATTACCTCTCCTTTTTTGAAACTAATGGAGAAATTATTGTTACTAAACCTTGTTCCCTCCCTAGGCTTCTCAAATGATCCAAAGCAGTTTGCTTACAAACAGGGTAAAAGTACTTTAGACGCTGCTGCTGTGTTTCATCACAACATTTTATCCTCCTTAGACAAAGGGGCCAAGTATGTCCGTTGTACGTTCCTTGACTATACATCTGCTTTCGACTCTGTACCCAGAGGCCTTTTGTTAAACAAGCTTGGCCTTACACAAACTGAGCCCTGGGCTATCAACTGGCTACACTCTTACTTCTCTAATAGGATGCAGTACACGGTATATAATGGTGTATCTTCCTCTCCTTTGCTTATTGAAGCTGGAGTTCCTCAGGGTGCTGTTCTCTCTCCGTTTCCCTTTTCCTTCTCCTTGCATGACTTACCTCTTTCAGACGAAATCAACTTCGTCAAATATGCAGATGACCTGACTGTTTCGCTTCCCGTTGATTCTCAGTCAGACTTTTTCAAATTAAATAGCTTCCTGTCGGACCTCAGTCAGTGGTCTAAACTAAATGGCCTCATGCTGAATCCCTCAAAATGCCAGACTATTGACTTCTCCCTTAGGCATAAACGAGATCTACAAACACTAGTAAGTACTCATGAAACCTGTAGCATTGAGGGGACCAAAGTTGAAACTAAGTCTAATGCAAAATACCTCGGTCTAGTTCTATCTTCCGACCTTACTTGGTCATTTTATATCCTAACGATTTCTAAGAAAGTGTTCTGTCTAACCTACCACATTAAGAAACTTAGACAATCTGGAATCACCCAACCTCTACTTTCACAATTTGTCAACTCTCGTACCTTACCTATTCTACTTTACTGCTCCCCGTAAGTCTTCCCTGGGCTACTGCTAAAGGACGATACCATCCTGAGAAGGCTATTGAAGGTAGTTAGTAGGACTAGTGGTGTAAAAGTCAGTCAGCTCGTCATTACATTAGTTGAAGGCATCTGAATACATGCGAAAAATGGTCTAAAACCATATTCTTCGACCCCCAACACCCCCTCTATTCCCAACTCTCGCCTTGTATCTCATCAGGAAGAACCAGAAATCAGTACAAAGTAATGTATGCTCTTACAAGTACAGGAAACCAACGATACCATACTTGGCCCGTGTTCTAAGCGACAGAGACAATGTTAAGCGCGAAACGTATGACTTCCTTAGTTGTTAATAACATAATTTTAGGCACTTTTATTTCTCTCTTACTTGTATTCTATAGTGAACACCTTCTTAAACATACTTAGCTACCTAAATTATTAACATTGGCCTACATTTTTGTACTTTACCGTATTCCTTCTTTTGTGTATCTACTGGCTCCGACTATATTAGCACTATGAGCATTACAAAATTGTCCTGTCATTAACCATCATGTAATATAATTTTTGTGGTTGTTTTTTGTTCGGCAATATTAACTGACAATCTTGGTTGTGAACGCCATTATCACCATCTTTAGTTTTGTATTATGCAGGATTACTCACACTACCACTACAAACACCGCATTAGAGCTGACAATAAAATACCTGAAATGTTATTTTATGATTGTTTAGTGTTATTCAATCGAATTAACTGATCATCTTGGCGATAAACATTCTTAAATATCATTTCATAACTTCTTGTATGATTATAGCTTTACTGTCACCACGCGTAAACATATCATAGCTTCCACTACTCAATACTGAGATATTATATTTTATTGTTCATTTTTCCTTCTACTTCTTGGTATATTTTTCGCATTTTTTAGTACTTTATTTTGTTTTTCTGGTTGCTGTTTTTATATTTTTTGAAATAATACTTTTAAATGTTTGATAAAATTAGATGCAAATATTGTAGATATGTGCTGAAAATTCCACACTGTAACACTAGTACTGTTTCTGGAATAAAGCAAAATTATTATTATTATTATTAAAATTAATACCTCCAGTCAACGCCTACCCATTTTCTTTAACTTGTTTAGGACGTATTATATCGAATATTTCGCAATAATTTTTCCATAATATCAGTAGACGGATTACTTCTCAAATTTTAACTCATATCACATAAGAAAGAGTCGTGAAAACTT